TGACTTAGAAGATGAGAGGCTTTGTTGAAATTAGACAATATGAAACATGACGATGAGAGGATGAGGAGGTCGCGTTTAGTGTTGATTAAGGTAATTAAAACGTAGAAAGAAAGAAAAGGGAGATAATAATGTTCATTTGATGTCCGGCAGAAGTAACAAAGGATGGATTGAATGTGGAAGGAGAGGTTAAAGGAAAGTAAATGGATGGCAGAAGACAGCGTGGGAGGGATGGTGAAGAGATAAAATCTGCTAAAGGCTACAAAGGAACAGGGCAAGAATGGCAAGTAGGTGAAGAGAAAAGTATTAAAAAGCAAGAAGAAGAAGAAGAAGAAAAGAAGGGAAAAAGAGAAACGGATTCAGAAGAATAAGAGTAAGAATTGAAGCTATTACAAAAGAAGAAATGACAGAAGAAAAGAAGAAACGTGGGTAGTTCAGAAAATGAATAAAAAAAGAAACAGGTGTGCATTCAAAAGAAGTGAATCTGTGTAGTAGTATTAGTAGTATTAGTAGTGGAAGGATTAGTGAAGAAGAAAAAAGAAGAAAAGTGGGTGTAGTATTAGAAAAGAAGAGGAGGAAAAAGAGAAAACATAACTGAAACAGGTGTACAATCAGAGAAGGATCTAGTAGTTGAAAGTGAAAGAGGAGTGGTAAAAGAAGGAGCTGAAGAGAGGGGAGAAGAAATAAGTGGGACAGTATTTGAAAGAAAGGAGAAATGGGCGTATTATTATTATTATTATTATTATTAGAAGAAGAAGAAGAAGAAGAAGGGATAACTAGACATAAGAATAACTTAAACGAAATGAGGAAGAGGAAAAGAAAAAAAGAGTGAATGAAGAGTAATGCCAGGGAAAAGAAAAAAGGACGAGAGCGCACAGACAAAAGGTCAGGAGAATAAAAGATTAGACGTGAGATAGTAAACTGGTAAGCGTCAACTTTACAGAATAAAAGGTTGCCAAAGATGAAGAAAAAGGTGATAAAAAAGAATCAAGATTTTGATGACGGTACTAATTTCGTTGACACTAAGCGAAAAAAATTTACAACTTTAGACGGATGGAAACATAGGTGGGTGTGGGAGAAAAGATGTTAAAACTTAATTCTCCGCTGTCTCCATCTGTTCGACGTTTTCCTCTTTCTCTCATTCGCTCTCTTTCTTTTCTTGCGGTGTTGTGTCACGTGCCTCGGTCAGAAATAGCCGACCGTGCGGCTGTCCAATCTAAACCACCCAAAGTCAAAGCATTCGGTTAAACAAGGCAGGCTGTCAAGCATTTTATTTTAAATCCTGTGTTTTCCTTGTGGCCTCTTATGGCCTCATCTTTTTTTCTCTTTTATGTAGTTACATGATCCCTCTTCTTCTTCTTCTTCTTCTTCTTCTTCTTCTTCTTCTTCTTCTTCTTCATCCTCATCATCTTCTAAGTGCCGTATCACTTCAGGACGTGGAGGATCATGACTTTTTGCAACTTCATTTCCTTTATAGTACCAGGCAGTGTTTCTGTTTTTTACCACCCCTCCCATTCCACGTCCTGCAATCCATTCATAAGCTTGCCTTCTGTGCTTTTTACTTTCGATATTTCCCGTGAGTGTCAAACTTTACAAGCGCTATATCCTCTTTATTTGTCCCAGAAATATCAACACTCTCTTCCTGATTACGAGGAAAATGTATCCTATTTGTTTCCATTTTCCCTAAAACTTCCTCGTTGTTCACATGTTTTGTCCATGGTATTCTTAGTAGAACTATATTTCTCTTATCTCAAGTCATTCTCTTCATCCGTGAGAAAACTGTTCAGCATTCACTGTATATATAAGAAGATTGATATTAAAAGATAGTTCAGTACGCGTTCCTTTGTTTTCTAATGAAATTTCTAATGAAATTTTCCATCTTTCTTAATCCTCTGCTTAGTTTTGGGAAGACCCTTTTAGTAATTCCAATACAGTATCACGTTCTTCATCGTCTGTTAAAGCACTTTCCCCCTGTACTTATGTTGTAGAGTAGGACTCAGCGTACTCACTTCTCTTCCTTACTACTCTGACAATGGACTGAACCTACTTATAAATATAGCAAGTAGCCACATTTATAGAATTAAATTTAGATCTCAACAAGTCACCATATTGCATATCATTCAATAATATTTGAAAGCATTCTAATTCTGTTTCCACCTCCATATCAAATGGTAGTGCGAAGAATTTAAACAGATTTGCACGCAGACAAAAGTCAGCAAAACGTGATGAAAAATTAATTTCCCGAATCCTGGATTATATTCACAAGTAACTATGAATCCTGTGGTTTCCTTCATTGAAATGATGAAAAATGCGCATAATTTTTATTTCAAAGTTGATGTTCCCACAACTGTAGCTTTTTCTTCAAAGGTAACGATATAGTTATAGATTTCATTCACGAGCTGAGTTTTACCTTGAAGTTATAAATTTAAGTTATTTAAATGAGTCACAATATCCACAATAATTAATATAGTTGCAAGCCAATCAAGATCTGGAAAATGTGAACTATCCACACGTTTGCTTTCGAGAAATATCAGTACGTTTTTGTGAGACAAATACTCCTTTTAGCATTAATCTTCAGCTAAACCAGCGTAAATCGCAGAAATAAGCAAGGTCACTATATTCTGCCATATCCAACGAAAACTGTTTAAATTGGCGATGATTTAATCCACGAGATAGGATCAGATTCTCAGCCTTCACAACAATATCGATGACATTCTTAAATTTCAAAGACTTTGCACACATGGCTCTTGATGGACAATGCAATGAATTTTAACAAGTTTCTGTGTGATTCCAAGGCTTTCCATATGTTCTTACAGTAGTACAACAAAGATTTTTTTTCCTACCATTGTTGGGATACCATCAATTGTGATGTTAATTAGCTTCGAAAAATCAAACTTCATTTCTGATATGATTTTCAACAAAGTTTCAAAGATGTCTGTTCCGGTTTTCTTCATAGGAATTAACTGAATAAATTCTTCAAAGATCTGAAAAGTTGAAGTCACTCCTCGCACAAAGACAGCGAGTTGTGCAGTGTCACTTAAGTCTGTACTCTCATCGACTGCAATGAAAAATATTGTAATTCACTGCAGGCGTTGATTAATTGATTTTTAACATCTGCAGAAATTTCTTCAACCCGCCGTGTGACCGTCCTTGGAGACAGGCTAATAGTTTCAAATAAAGACTTTTTTTCTGGAAAAACAATATCCAACACTGTCAGAAAGCATTCTTTAAAAAAAATCAATACCTGTAAAAGGTTTCATATTTTCATCGATGCATTTTGAGACTTCATAGCTGACAATTGTATTTGTCATATTTTCGCTTTTTCTCTTTAAAAAAAATGACGTATGTTTTCAAAACATACGTCATTTATGGAACCATTTATGGAACAAAGAACACTCGTTCTTCTACCTGTTTCAAGTCTTTTCCCTGTTTTGTTTTTTTGCACTGTCATAGCTGAAAATCGTCTCTCACTGCTCAACTTCATCTTTCTTTGACTGTTCAGTCAATTTCCTGAAATTTTCACATTGGGGCGTCTTGTAATGTTACCTAATATTTGCTACCTTATTCACAGCAATGCTTTTTAGACATATGTGAAAAAACCGGGTTCTCACTGTGCTCGATGAAGAAGTAATGTAATGTCTCAATCTCTTGGAAAATTCGGCATTCAGCATCTACCTTTCTTCGTTTTGCATTCATCGTCATCAAATTATTTTCTTACGAATAAAATTAAAACTTAAATTAAAAATAAAACTATTACAGTTTGTACAACAAGAAAGAGTCGAATTGCAAGAATACAGAGCCAAATTATACAAATACATAGAGGTTAATTTCATAAATGCTTAAACAAATTAATCATTGTTTAAAAGGAATAATTCGATTTTTTAAATAATTTTACATCTGAATAACTCGACTTTTTAATGTCAGGACTTATATTGTATTTGAAAGCCTCGTCTCTCATATTACGATTGTTATAATACCAGTTGGTTATGGCTAATAACTTATATACATTTTCGTTATTATTTTTGTGTTGTGTGAGCTGGAATGATGTGCGAAGCCCTGAGTACACGGAGGGTGAATCAGAAGAAGATTTGAGAAAGAATGTAACAGCAGGCCTTTTATTGTATTCGAAAGCTTCGTCTCTCATATTACAATAAATTTAAATTTTAAATAAATACCAAACTCGAACAAAAATATTCATACCGAAATTCGTGCAAGTCGAGTTAAAGTCGAGACATGACTCGACTCGCGAACCAATTACTATAAAATTTATTTACAATATTTTAAGAATGGAAAAAAATATTCATTGCTAAACAACCATATGATCAAATAATCTTGAATTGAACCTAAAATTGTTTCTTTTTCTGTTCTCTTTGGTTTTATGTTATTCCTGTGCAGATCGAAGCACAGAATAGCCCGACTAAATGCATTTTCGGTCAAGCTACTGATCGTGGGGGGGGGGGAGATGGACATGGCTTTTTCGGATCGGACTTTGACCGAATTTTCAAATATATTTTAAAGTCGGACTGGACTGTTCCGGTTCAACTTCAAACTCTGGTCATGACTCATCTCAATTCGTAAGTTTAATGAGTTGAGTCGACTAACTGGGGCATCAGTTCTCGCCGGCTGGTCAAAATCTCTTTGCGGGCTGGATCCGGCCCACAGGTCGTATGTTGCCAACCTCTGGCTTAGAACTTACGGTTACATATCGTCATTTATACTGTAGAATGATAAGACATTGTCCTCAATCTATTGATTGATTCGTTATATACGGTTTATCAGTTCTTTGCAGGTTACAACATATTTTTAGAATATAACAATGTTTTAAATGATAATAATGATTTAGTGATACAAGTTATAGCTGGGAGGAAAAGAGGTGGATTCTTACCCTTCCCAATGGTATGTGCGTAACCGAATATAACAAAGTCAACTGAAATTGGAACTCGGCTCACCGATTAACAATTCCGAGAAATTATTAATTAACCCACCCGCATATCCAAGCTTATAGTACTTGGTATTCTCAAGTGGTCGCTCATATAAGTACTGATCAGCCTCAATGTTGCTTAACTTCAGTGATAGTATGGGAACAGGTATTTCAACATTTTATAGCCGCAAGCTGTTGCCAATCTAAGAATAAAGTTTAGGTACCATAGAAGAAAGTTCATCAGAACAATTACGATGAAAAGGCACAGGAAGCTACATTACTACGATGGGAAGGTGTCAGAAACAGAGATTCCAGGACATGACTTATAGCATTGCAGATTCTTCTTTGGATTCTATCAAGAACTTTTAAATATATAACAGGAGCACCAGATCTTATGTGGCAGTAATATTCAAAGCATAGACGAATGGTAGACATAAATATTCAAGAAAGATTCTAGGGAGAAAATGTGTCTAGAACGACACTGGGAATCAAATTTCTTAGCTTTTCTAGCAAGTGATTCAATATAATATTTATACTTCATGTCAGTAAAGAATGTTAGCACGAAAAAGTGCAACGAGTCGCTCTTTTGGAGGTTAGCATCAGCCATCCTGATGGAACGAAGAAACCGGTATCTTGGGCGATTAATAGCAAGCAGTTTCGTTTTGGACATCTTCGGTTAATTGAACCTCCTTCGAAAGGACAAAACTATGATCCTGTGGAGACCAAGAAATACCATTAAACAAAAAATGTACAAAGCAGTTAAAAAGACATGACCTGATTTCATTCTTTTTATTGGATAGCTTTTATTAATAACGTCTTTTCTTTTTTTCTGATTCTTTTAACTCAGTTGGTAAGGTTGCCAGCCATCATCTCTGCTGATCAGATTTTACTGAAAAATCAAAGTTCTGACACTTGCCTCGATGTGGTCAGGCAGGATGATCAATGACAGTTGTTTAGAATCGCTCAGCTGTCAATGGAATTCATTTAAATTACTCACGGACATCACACTTTATTAATCTCATTCATAGGCTTGACTCAGACGACATTACAATCGGAGTATTATATTATTTTTCCTATATAATATCCTCCATAAAGTGTCGATTATGTTCTTCGCTGTTGGTTTTAATAAATCTTGCTTTCGTTCAAATGCTTGAACAATGCCGTACTGTGCGTGAACAATTATTGATATGTAATGGATTGTTGAGCATTATGAATCTTACAATGACTTGACTCGCAGCAGTGAGTATCTAATCTACATTGTGACTTTATCAACTCAGTATAATTACAATAAATATTTATTCAGGCTTACGGAACTTAACAATTGTATAAGTGAACTGAATAAAATCGCTTGTCCATAGTCTATGGAACAGTGTCTAAACTGGTCGTGATTGCCGGAGATGTGTATTGGCTTGTCACTACTTGACAACTAAGCAGCAAAGAACTAAACGAAATAATGAAATAGTGATACATAAAAGACTGGCTATAAGCAAAATGTCCGTAGGAGATACACATACCACTTTTGTGTTCTTATAATACGTGCCACCCCAAAGTTCTGGAATTTAAACCTGAAATAATAATAATAATAATAATAAGAAGAAGAAGAAGAAGAAGAAGAAGAAGAAGAAGTTCCCTCCAGGACGATGGCAATCACGGTTCGAAGCAATACTTTTCTGTCCAATTCATGCTTTACCCTCCATTTGCACAAGCGCGTCAATTAGGTTACTCGATGTTTTCCTTTGCCCCTCTTGCCTTCAGTATTTCCTGTGAGTGACAAATTCTTCAAACCTATTTCCTCATTATATGTCCCAGAAATGTTAACTGCTTCTTTCTGATCCTAACTAAACGTGTCTTTTTCGTTCTCATTTTCCTTAAAACTTCTTCGTTTCCTAAAAAGAAAAAAAAAGGTTTCTCCCGTCCACTTCGAAGTCGTTTCATGCCTGCAATTTGCACACTGGCCCTCAAAAGGTACTCCTCACAAAAAGTAATGGGGAATATTTGTTCTTTAATTATTCAAGTAGCAGAGGGTGATGCCAAAGCCTTCTGATAAAATTTTATTTCATATCCGAATGATGTTCCCCGCTAACATTATAAAGAATACATTCAATTCCACAGTTTCTTCTAATAAATTTTGTGTAGATTACAGACGACGTAATATCAAGTTCAGAATATAATTTTTTGAGTTCAGAATATTTTTTTTTTTTGAATACGATGCCTCTACTAGCTCCACTTGGCTTTCTCATATTGGAGGGAAACAATGTCTTAAGTTGACAATACATAAGTAATATATATATATATATATATATATATATATATATATATATATATATATATATATATATATATATATACCGGGTGTAAAAGCAAAATTGTCCAAATCATGTAACAGAAAATTTGTCCATTTGTTAAATTAAGATTTGAACCGTTGTATCATAGAAAGGAATAAAGATAACTTACTGGAATTTTCCGATTTATTTTCTATTGGACTCTACTTTGAGCAAGAAAAATGTATAATTGTTGTCCAAGCTTAACAGAAGAATTGTGATGAAATCAATCATAAACGAAATGACATGTGCATCATAGCTAAAGATCGGAAGCTCATGAAGTATTGAAATAAAGCTCAAGTATATATATATATATATATATATATATATATATATATGTATGTATATATATATATAATTCCAGGATCATTTCCAACTTATTCAAGATGGTATTCACCCTCTCTAACCTTCTAACTTTCTGTCCTGGAGTAATAAGAAGCCTCACAAGTTTTAAGTACGATTTCATTTTCAACTCTTTTCACTGCTTTTTGGACTGTCATAGCTGAAACTCCTCTCTCACGTGTCAAACGTCTTATAGGTTCAGTTGGATCTTTTCTAATTGATCTCTTTATCTCTAAGTTGAAATGTTGATCTCTCTTCCGGTTGTGACCACCTGATCAAGTTTTCCTCTCTACTGTTCCCTCTTTTTAAAAATTATTCACCGTTCTTGAATGGACTTTGAAAATGGAAGCCCAAGTATAAATGTTGGTAGCATTATTGAAAGCCTGAATGATCTTTTCCTCTCACTATTGCTCATTTGGGAAGACATTACGGCTGACATAAAACGATTTTAACCTGTTCTCTTTCTAGCTAAATAACTCAAAGGGTTGTTCAGTGGTTCTTACGTCAAATTCTGTGAAGATGGCAAAATCTCTTATTTGAAATCTTGGAAAAATGAAACTCAGTAGAGTATTTTTTTTTTTTTTAGATATTAACCCTTTGATCCCTGCGTTCCTGAACAATTCTGACTCTTCTGCATGAGATCCTGAGACAAAATTCGCAAATAAATGGTATGTAATGTTTCACAGTAGATAATAAACACAGTCCCTGATTGTTTCCCTGACGGTCCGGGTCAAGACTCTTGACGCTTCATGGTAAAAACGATTTTTTTTTTATCCAAAACACATGCACAAAACACAGTGAAAAGGCGCGAACATGTTGGTATAACGTTCATCGACATCATGATTATTACGTTTTTTTCAGATTGGCTCTTCAAAATAAGACAACGAAACGCAAGTGTTTACACACCGTTCAACCAGTGGCTGGACATTATGTCATTTTTCTCTTTCGGTAATGCGGTGGTCAGGGCCCAAAGGGTTAAACGATTTGAAAAGTTTTGCTCTTACGCCCGGCACATATATATATATATATATATATATATATATATATATATATATATATATATATATATATATAGATATGTGTGTGTGTGTGTGGAGAGAGAGAGAGAGAGAGAGAGAGAAAAGAGAGATATAGAGATAGTCAATGTCACTGTCACGACTTGAAGATACATAATCTCTACGAGAATCGTTTATATATATATATATATATATATATATATATATATATATATATATAGTCGACTCTCCGTCGAATTCGACGTATGAGGGTCAAGCAGATCAGTTCCCAGGAAACCGACAGCCTGACAACAGCACATGAGATTTGATTATAGTGGTGAAGATTTCGTGCAAGACCAGCCACACTTTTTGAAGGGACGAATTCAGAGACCTGGTGCACTAAGTGCTACAAGGTCCCCAAACGATCCTACGCAGGTTTTGAATTCCGAGTTGTCCTTCTCCTAGACCAGTTGCCATCCAAGGCTATAGAACTCATATATATATATATATATATATATATATATATATATATATATATATCTTTGAGTAATACAATCATACACCCTACACTACTTTTTTCTTCAATAAAATGTAATATTCAAAACCGAATGTTTATTTTAAATATATTTAGAATATATAAAAAATATATATAAAAAAAATACCAAATATTATTTATATCGGAACTGATGTCCTTATCTTATAATGCTACAGCTGTTGTGACCTCCGACCTTACCTCAGGTTTTGGCCAATCCAGGTAACCTTCAGGTAACTTCCAACTGCACTCTTTATTCAATCTATTGAATTTGATAGTTCTCATTCCGTTGTCTATAGCGCTCTTGTTATATTTTATCATTGCTCAGTTATTGCTCGCCCGGTTTCTACTTAGACCGATTCTAGTCCAGCGACTGAAGCCACATATATTATACAGATTAAATTTAGTGGATCAATTGATATCAATAAATTAACAAACCAAGGCTTTAATCCTCTTGGCTATTGTCTCTTGGGAACATCTTGAATCTAGAACTTGGAGTTTTGAAGCAAATTTTTTTATTGTCTCCCTACCTGCTGAAGTTTATGCTATTGCTCTCTTGTTGTGTCACTTCAGCTCTTTTGCCACTGTTGATTAAATAAAGTTTCATTTCGAAATTCTCTAAGGGTCAAAGAAGGCCGGAAGGTACAACAGCCAAAATATTTTGATATTAAGAACAAAAATGTGAAGAATTGTACGACTATATATAATGTAAATAATAATACGTCCTCAACCCAGAAATCTAGACTGATACAAAAATGTGTTCAACCACTTTTTGCCTATCCAGTACTTGATCCTTATCAGGTGATCTCATCCTAGAATTAAAGCAGATGTCAGTTTATTTGCGTTTTATGTGCATTGCACTTACAGTGCCAGACAGTTACTGGCATGAATTGTAGTACGTTGCTGAATGCTGCCAATTTTGATCAGATTACAAATGATAACTGCATCTATGCCTAACCTAGCCCAATGGTTACCAAGCAGATTCAGAGACCAATTTGGTA